AAATAGATAGCATCTGTTCCTTTTCCAAGCACTCGGCACTTTGAAGAGAAAGTCTTTCGCATCAGACCTTAAAAACTGGTCCCTTGTAACAAAAGGCATTGGCACATTAAATATTCTTCACTGCTCATTGGCCCTGAGTGTCGAGTAAAGGTTAATGGAAACCCTTCACCGATAATGGTGACGTTTCTATGTAAGTGAAAAATTCTCGAATGGAATGTAAAACAACATATAATCATGAAATATGAAGAAAACGAACAGTATTCATTCTCGAAAAGTCCAGTGAAACGATTCAAATTTGGAGCAGAGCAAACACGGACCTCACAATTTAGAGGTGGGATCAGGTGCTATGGAGGAGTGAGCATCCCCTGCCGACCGGTCACACCCACCATATGCTCATTGTCATGATCGGGGAAAAACGGAAAAAAATCCGTAGACAGTTCAATGTATAAATAATGGCATAACAATTAGTATGACAAACGTCAGCATTTGACTCAAGGATAAGTTTTATGTACTGACAATGTCATTGTATGGACCGTAAAACTTGCGAAAAGGTGACTTCAAAAGAGACTGTTGATATCCTTGTTTTATCAACTTGTTTGTCAATAGCTTGCCCTCGTTTTAGAAATTGTTCATACGTAGAGCATGCTCTTGCGTATCGAATCAACTGAGAGACATACATGTAAACCCCACATGCAACTGATAAGGGTATAGTGCTACATAAATAAGGGAAGTTGACGATTTAAAAGATAAAGTCATCACGTTTATCATAAATTAAAGCTTTGTTGTTAGGTTACCATTATCGTCTTTTTCTAGTATAATATCTGAATATGAAACAGATGTGTCAGAATCTGTAGTATCTTTTATTTCAAGCTCACTGGAATATATCGAGTCGACATATGAATGAAAGTAACTATTGTTAATTGATAATACGTCGTCGATATAACGAAATGTTGAGTTGAAAGCCACAAAAAGTGTTTTCTTCTTCTCATGAAAGACATCCCTAACCCTAACCTTGTGAAAGACACAAAATTTTTTATCCAATTTCAGTGCATCTATCAACTAAACTTAGGGCCAAGAAACATTGTCCCCTAATTATTGCACAGATCACTGTCCAATTAACATATACTTGAATGACAATTGAATTGAATTAGTGTTTCCATATATTGAATATAAAGCGTATCCAAAAACTTAAGTCCGTAGCATCAGTTATCTTAATTAACAGTATATAGAATAAGACTTTAAATCAAGTTTACCAGTTGAAGACTAAGATAAGGGCACTTTTAATGCTATTTTATTTTCTGTGTAATATTTCTAGCATTGTTTTAGCCTCAACTGACCCAGTGGGATATGGGTTGCAGATTTCAATTCACAAACATGTAGCTGATTGCAGACTTACACCAAACAATTTAAGATATGTAGTTCAGAAACCAAATACCATAACACACGTCTTTATGTTACACTGTAAATACATATAACTGAAATTTGAAGCTTTATTGCAAATTTAGTTAAAATTTGTCCAGTATCTCTAAAGATGAAGATACATGTATAACATGTCGTGTAAGATAGCAGAAAGACGAACAACACGTAACTCTGTTTAGAAAAATGCTCACTGGTCTTTGACTCAGATAAGCTTGATAAAAAACAATACTGCTGAAATATCTATACTACTATATTAAAATAATAGACTCGAATTTTTGGCCCTTAATACCGATAAATTGAAAGAGTACCGTCTTTTGTTTTATATATTTTAAACATCATTGGTACTTGAAGATTGCCAATTTGTTTTTATTTTTTCTCAATTAAGCTTCGCTAATTAATAATCAACGAAAATTCCTCAAAAAATTCCGGAAATCATCTGGATTTTTTGGATTTTACAATCTTATGCGTGCGCATTACATTCACGCTAAATCACGGTGTTCAAATCAATCTCGCTTGCAGAGTTGTCGTTCGTTTCTCTCTCATACACGAATGTATGAGCCGATGGTCGAGAGTGTGTTCAAATCAGAGAAGACAAAAGTAAATACTAAGTAGGTATATTTGTTTTATTGTATAATTTCTCTAATAAGAAATCATTAATATATATGAACAGAATATATAGCAAATTTCAAATGAAAATTTACAAGTATTTGTCATAGGCGTCGGAACGGGGGGGGGTCTAGGGGGGCTTAGCCCCCCACTTTTTTTTTGCAAAGATAGACATAATATAGGCATTGAAAATTGGGGCTTACCTTTTTTTCGTTTATTTAGCACCCCCTCCCCCCACTTTCAAATAGCCACCCCACTTTCAATTTGCTTCCGACGCCTATGTTTGTATTATCGTTTCTGAGTTTATATCATACAAATGTGATATTGTGGCCACGTGGGTAATCATTCGCCATCTCGGAGACACATTTATTATATGTTATTTATATCTCTGGCCATCTCAACGGAGGCAAAAAGCTCATGATCGTAGGAGCAATATTAATGTAACTACCCGATTTTATTTTATCCCTCCTTTCTTTTATGCTTTTTTGGGGGGAACTGAAGGGTGGGGGGTGTTACAACTCCAGTTAGAATCACATCTTAGTGAAGTAGGCATTCTTTTTCCGCCAAAAATTACAATAACTACTATATTAAAATTATAGACTCGAATTTTTGGCCTTTAATACCGATAAATCGGAAGAATACTGTCTTTTGTTTTATATATTTTATACATCATTGGTACTTGAAGATTACCAATTTGTTTTTATTTCTTCTCAATTAAGCTTCTATTTTTATTACTTTTTCTATGTATTAATTCAAGGATATTACATTAATTTTTATCAAAACAGACAGTCTTTTACAGATTATATACCTGTCTATTACCTGTGTATATATAAAGTATATGTATTAGCAGTGCTTAACTGTTTTATTGTTGAGGTCATATTTTGAACAAGTTGAGACCTGCAGTGTTAAAATTGTTACAAAAATTTTTACACCTTTACTTTAATATCTGATTGTGTAAAAAATACCAGCTTAGCACATTTCTTCATTTTCATTACTTTGCTTGATATGTATCAGCAGTGTGCTCAACTCTTTGCTGTTGTCATATTTTCAATAAATATCCATTATTTTTTTCATTAAATTTGTTTGGAAAGGTGAAATTTATGTAAGCTCCGGTGTGAATCAAACTCATGATTTGATTTATAGCTAGCGGGGGGTCAAATCCATTCTGCGCTACGCCGTTACGCAACAATTTTGAAAAAAAAGAACAAAAACAAAAAACAAAAAACAAAACAAACACAAAAAACCCAGAATTATATTCACATTCATTGTTTATTTCAAAAGTATCTTACAATAGGAATGTGTCGATGTATCTATTTTGTAAATGTCCGATATGCACATGGATGCATTCATAACAATGTCAACCCGTGCACGCACGGGTCAAAGTCTAGTATCAATTAAGTTTCTATCATGAATATCACGTTTAACTAAAGAAACTATGAAGGGATGCGTTTGTATACAAATCCGACTTCCAAAAACTTCTGCACGTTTGAAATGAAACAACCAACTTCATATTAATATTAAAGCTTGAATTTCGTTCCTCTGCCTCCCCCCCCCCCCCCCGTAAAAAATCAGTATTTTTTTTAGAAAGTATCCATGGTTATGAATATACATGCTTGTTATAAAATAAATTCAAGAAATTTACTTTTTTGTTATAAAATAAAAACTCACAATTCAAAGGTAAAATATATCATATGTGAAAGGTTAGAAGAATAACAGTCTCCTACAAATAAAATACATTACTCATATCTAAATATGTTCTGTGCTCCACATTAAGTAATTTGATGTCAATAATCATTCCTGTTTTTTCGTTTGTTTTTATTTTGCATCAATTAAAACAGCACAACAACATTCAATGCCTTTCAGATTATCATTCCCTATTACAATAAACGTTACAGATTTATGAAATATAATATTTGATAAATCATATCCATGTAGTTTATATTCACATCATGCTTTCATCCCATTACAACAATATACATGCACGTAATTTAAAAAAAAATTCTTTTCATTACACTCTACATCACAAGCCTATTTATCTGAATGAGACATTGTTCTCTACTCTCCTACATAAATCTTTTATTTTTCTTTTTATATGTAAAGAAAAAACAGAAAAAAAACATACACATAAAATCTATCTATTGTACAAAATGTGTTTTGTTATTAATAATCAGTATCAATTTGCCTCTTAAAGCAGGTCGAAAAATTAGTATAAATATGTACAAATAAACAACGCATACTACAAGCAAAACTGAAAGGATAAAGATACTAGCTGTATACACAGAAAGAATTGTCAAACTCAATATCTTTGATATCTACTGGCGTTGATATTACGAGATCCTCCACTGGATTTGAAATGATGAAGAGGTGCGTGCGGAACGTAGGATTTTCCACTGTGGGACAGGGAAGAATTGGTATTATACTGAGGCTCTGTGGTTGGTTTTCCCGCCTCAACGAGGTCTCTCCAGTTCCTGTTCGGTTCATTGTTTTCTTGTTGATTTCCTTGATGTTTTCTCCTGTTTAATAATGAAAGAAAAACTGTGACTTATTATTCATACCCGTGTCTGACAAGACTTTGCCGTTTAAAAAATGGTCACAACAGTCAATGCGTAAAACGCCTTTTATTTGAATCGTTATTGTTGACTGTTGTTCTACGCCTCGGTTAAGAAAGAAATACCAATGTGTAGCAAAGAAGACATTGAGCCCTAAGTTAGGGAAAATTATCCAGCAGATCCTAGACCTTTTGAACGGTTCATTTCAAATGAGATGTTTGCCCTAATTTTTTTTTCTGATTGTTCAATCTCTTAATTTTAAAACCCAGGAATACTTACGATTTACTACATTTTCTGGCTACCAGTCCAGTGATTATCATTATTAATACAATTCCAACAATAGAACTAGAGACTCCAACTATCAAATAGGTATTTTTAAGTTTTGCTGGAGTCGATTGTTCTTTGGCATCTTTTGTTTTTTCTTGTTCAACAGTCGTAATAGAAGTTGTAGTCTCTTCTATTTGTTCTGTGGAGCTCATCGATGTGGATTCTGTGTCTCTGTGGATCATTGTTGTTGTCATACTTTCTGTTGCTGTTTGTCCACAGGCTACGTAGATAAAAATATTTATATTCGGCCAACTTTAAAACTATGTTTGCCCTCTCCCGACTTACGATAAAAAATTGGATCCTTCCGTTTATTGCTTCTTTCAATGATTTTTGAAAGGAACTTAAAACACAATCACATCGAAACCGTACAAAACGAAAATGAGAACGAAGTATCCTAATTAGACACTTACATTCATTTTCTGTCCAGTTGAATTTATCATTTGTTGCATTACAGTAAAGACAGTCATTGATTGAACTATTCTGCATGGGGCTAATGCATGTGCTATCGATGTAACAAAAATTTTCCTGTAAATAACATAAAAATGAGATTTTTCCTGTTAAAAGAATTCAGAGCTTTTCAGATATTAATATTTGTATGCAAGATCAAAACGACTTTTTAAAATACCTACATTGTTTTTTTTAAGACAAATAGGGATAAAAATAAAGGTCTGCTTCCGAAATTCAAACAACGATATTACCAAATAAGTACTCAGGATGTTCAGGTATTTTCATATCCATAAAGGTCGATTAGAACAAAGTACTTCGTATATATTAAAATGTACTCCAAAAAGGTTTAAAAAGAAAGCAACACTTACCTTTAGGGTAAGATACACATTTCCGGATTCATTGTGGTACTCTTGACAATGAGACTGGTATATAATAACCTTATACGTGTCTGTAAAACGTACTCCGTCATTGGAGATGTTAAACCTGATTTCAGTCATCCACATACCAGATGTGTCATACGGAAGCGGACAGAATCCCTCAAATAAGGTTCTCTCTTGTAAATTCATCTGTCTCTTTTGCTCAATTTCTTCTGTTTGGTTAATATCAGTCTGAAAAAAATATTTTAAGAAAACTTAATTATTGCTGAAAAAGGAAATATGCTATAACCTTGTCATAAGAACCATTATATAAATATTCAAGGTTTGATTGTATGTTGTTTTACGTTTCATTCAAGAATTTTTCACTCATATTGAGACATCACCATATATCGGTGAAGAGCTTCAAAACTAGACTTTTACTCGGGGCTATTGAGCAGTAAGGGATCTTTATCGTGCCAACCCCTACCCTGATACGGGGGATTTTTAAGGGTTTTTAAGTTCTCATCCGAAAGAAAGCAACTTTCACTTAAAAGTGCCGAGCTCTTAGCAAAGGAACAGTTGCTACTTTTTACCGTCTTAGGTCTGTCGCGGCCGTGAACCCACCCACCTTTCCATCACAAATCGAGCCATTTTATGATTGAGCTAACATTACATTTACAAAATAATTTTTCAGATATACCTGTTTCACGGTAAGGTAACATATCGAGTCCATGTTTTCAAAGAAATATTTTCCCATGATGGTGGCCTCTTTGCAGGTTGTAGTAGAGAGATCACAAAGACCAGCACTGGGAACACTTGTAATTGTGGGAGGTCCGAGAAAATCAAAGGAGCAGTCGCTCCCCCCAAAGCCAGCGTCACATGTACAGTTTCCTGAAAAAAGATTATACATTTTATCTATGTGTAGGAGCAAAGCCATTTCCCTGTACTCAAAATATACACATCAAAAGTCTTGAAAATATTTTTTTTGATTCAGATTTGATATTTTGAAAAATTATTAAGCTATTTGTTTAAATGACTTTATCTTAATTATACCCGTTCAATTTTTGTATGTTCTGCTTCTTTATTTTCAAATGAAAACATAAGCAAATAAGTTCCGTTATATTGTATGATCTAATGAATGCACTACCTCCATCACAAGTGCCATGTCCGGTACAGTTGCTTGGACAGAGGTTTTGTATTGTATAGGTAACTTCCGGTTCTGATTCTTGCAGTGTGGCATTCAAGAGAACAAACGTGGAACACTGCTGTAGAGCGGCTTCGACGTGAATCTGCGTTAGGTTATCATCGCCTGTCATCTGAAAACAGATTTAAGCATTGAATTTGTTCAATTCAAACTTCTTTTATGCAAAAGAGGCCACGATTTCAGTACAATTAATTGATACTAGAGCATGTCATTCTGCAGTATATGTCACAAATGAAATACATTGTACTTTTATTTAACTTACTCTTATGTCTTCAATACAGTTGGATAATGTTACATTACTAAGGTCGGTTACATATTGTTGACAGGTGTTGTATTCACGTGAATTTTCAAAAGCCTGGAGGCAAACTGTTTCGGAGTATTCGGTCGACCGTACGTAGGAAATAGTACGTTTCTTTCTCTGAAATAGTTAAATGCAAGACGTCTAATCAAGATATAACTTTCATCGTGTTTTCCAAAGAAATTGCTCCTTATATTTTTCAAAGTAAGTATGATGTTTCAAGATGGATATTGTTTTTCCATCTATAAAAAATGGATCTAGAAATTTTCATTAGGTACCGGTAAATACGCTTAAGTAATTTTAACATAATTGAAATAGATAAATAATTGCATACAATTAAAGGATCCATTTGCCTGTACATATCGGACACATCCCGTTTACGTCTTCTGTTTTGTACAAGGTCTACGTTACATTTATACTGTTTGCCTCGGTTTGAGTTGCAGGGTGTGAACGTGTTGTAGGAGCATTGGGTTTTCCCGCTTTCTGTGCATGTACAGTGAGGAACAAGAATGGTGGACACAGATTGCAAACTGCTGTATACTACAGAGTCACCGCGAAAGAGATTTTCGTTGTCCATAATCCTACGTAATAGAAAGGCATATAGTGTTATTTTATATCAGATTATATGAACAGTTAAACTATAAATTGTAAGGTAATAAACTGTAATAAATTACAGTTAAATTGGAAAAATTAATAAATTGTTTTAAACCCAAATATTGATACATACTTCCATGACTCGGAGAAACCATTAGGAGATGTCAATCCGATGTTATCTGTAATAGTACTGTTTCGTCTTCTGAAGTCGTTTTCCCTAACACCATCAAAATATCCACACAAACCATCAGCATTTCCTACATCCATAGCAGAGGGGAGAATTTCTAGGTCGATGTTATAATGCCCATTCCAATCCATAATATAAATAGCCAGTGACGTACCAGTGGGAAAATATATCTGAATATGCCAGAATAAAGATTGATAACATAAAACCATCAAAAACATAAAGAAAACTTTGTGTCTGTGTGAATTCTAAAACTGTACAGATCTTTATAGAAATCAGACCAAAATAATAGAAATAGCTGCGTTTTAAAAAGTACAAATTTTTTTTTCGTAACCAGTGACAGCAGTTCTCAAAATCAGAAACCGTAAACTATTACTTATTAGGTTTGTTAAGGACTGACTACATAATATATCGGGTTGATCATAATATATCGGGTTGATCAATCGCATAGACGGCGATGCGGAGCCGAGCCGTCTATGAGATTGATCAACCCGATATGTTTCAGTGGACGAACGAAAATAAATTTACGAATTTACTTATTTCTCGAGGATGATGAGGGACATTAACGCAAGACAGATCCATAGAAACCTTTATAAAGGCGGGGGGGGGGGGGTGAGGGGCACTAAAATGACAAGGAAAAAAAAAATAACTGCCGAAACTCGAGACAACGTAGAATCTCCATCTATTTCTTTGTTCCCATTCTCACTCAAATTGGGGATATTAATTTGCCTGTCCGTCCGTCTGTTTTTCTGTCTATATGTAAATCTTTCGTTTGGGGACGATATCTCAAGAAGCCTTTGATCGATTGATTGTCTCTTGTTTAACGTCCCATTCGAGAATTTATCACTGATATAGAGACGTCACCATATACCGGTGAAGGGCTTCAAATTTTGACCTTTATTCGGCACTCAGGGCCATTGTGCAGTGAGGGATCTTTGTCGTGCCAACTCCCGAGGTGACACGCGGGGCCTCGGTTTTTAAGGTCTCATCCGAAAGACCTTGAACTTTCACTTCAAAGTGCTTAGCGCCTTGCGAAGGAACAGTTGCTACCAATTTTTTATCGACTTAGGTCAGTCGCGGCCGAGATTCGAACTCACGACCTCCCGATCACGGAGCGAGCGCTCTACCGACTGAGCTACCGTGAACGGTAAGAGGCCCTTTGAGCTTTTGCAATGAACTTTTATACCACGACTTCCTATGGCCTAAAAAATACCCCCGTTTATTCTGAGGTCTAAAGGTAAAAGGTCAAGTTTCAAGATAATAACTTTAATTATCTTAGAGCTTTCTTCAATAAAATTTAATATCAACTCCCTTTGGCCTAAAGAAGAATCCTTTCCATCTTGAGGTCAAAAGTCATCAATTCATGCATTTTCTATAAAACTGTTTTCCTCCAAACTATGTCTTACAAAGACTAAGATTTTGCAATGAAATTTTTTAGAAAAAAACTTCCCATGGCTTAATAAAACCATATTCATGTTGAGGTCAAAAAGTCAAAGGTCAATATTAGAAATATATATAGGATACATATTTTTTAGATGATACTTTAAGTTTTTTTTCTGTAAGCTTTTGCAATGGTCATGAATTCTTAAAAAAACTTTAAAAGACTCGTATTGACTATAAGGTCAAAGCTGAAAGGTCAAGGTTTTACTTTTTTCGTTCTCCATCCGCAAAATGTTTCTTCTTATTTCCTTAAGCGGAGGACACAAATCGCTGAATAAGCTTGTTAGTCTTACTTTAATACGATGACGACACTCTATACTCCCTATTGAAACAAAATGTGGAGGAGCACATCCTTTGAGCGATATAGAATCTGGGGGATCTACTGCGTTTGAATGATAAAGAATCTATGGTGAAAATTTGTTTGACATCATTTCTTAAAAAGAGCCACTAATTTAATTCAAGAAGAAAACATTATGGAAGGTATTTTCCCTAATAAATGATTTTTAATATCGATAGGTACGAACAGACACTCGGACGGACGTCGGCACTTCAAACGTTTTTTACCTAAGCTTTATACTATAAGTGTTTGTATTGATATTAAATTTTATTTTATACTTGTATTTTTGCTAGTTCTTTGCCTTTTTTATGATCATGATCTGATTTTTCCTTTTTTTCATGAAATATATGGAGATAACGAACAGTATTCAAGTATTCATTATTTACTTCTCCATATGCTCCAGGGATTAAAATAGCGCCACTCTATAACACTCTGACTTTGCGTTTGTGATAACTTGTTTTTTTTTTAATTTTAATGATAAAATAAAAAAGGAAGGGTAAAAAATTGCGATTGTTTTGGCGGACGGAAATTGAAATCTTTTACAGTATATAATATTTAGTAATAATAGTTAAACTTCTGAAGGCAAAACCTTTGTTTAGGATGAGTGTTAACTGTAATTTTACTTTTTGCAAATTCTATATTATCGTGAACCCGTGTTACAGTTTTTAAAAACTGCAAGAAGTACAGAATATATCACCCCTGTATATATTCCTATCCTGCTGCTCATTAATTCTCTCATCAACAATCGTTGTTATGTAAATTCGTACGCCATGTTGTATTAATTACTGCTTATAGATTTATTATCAGTACTCTTTTTTAAAAATAAAATTACGTGTCTTAAATGCAATTAAAAAATACAGATTATGGACCATGGAGCAGCTCGTATCAAGGTTTACTGTCATTGCAAAACCACCTGTGGAGAACTCTTACAACAAACAACATGTTCATAAAATAAAGCATCCATAATCATAATTCGTAAGAAATCATATATAATTATTAACCTGCACATCAAGTGTACTCTAGTTAGGTTATTGAAACTTTTTTCCCGACCTTATAGTATTTGTCGTAGATTTTCGTGACTTTTAAAACATTGTCCTCGCACAGCTCATAGCTGATGACTTTATTTTCTCCACACAAATCTATGACGAAGACATCTCTTCCGGCTCTTGCTGCGACTGCGCAGACACACCAAGGACCATCGTATGATGGGATACATAGGTGATGTTTAGACTGAATCTAAAATGCAGTTCATAAAGTGTTAGAGAAAAGGTCAAAGTAAGCTCACTTTTATGTACACTGGCCTCAGTTTCTAACTTGTACATAATTTACGTGACCCTGTCCTTTATTTTATACCAGATGAAACATGTATTGTTTAAATTCACATTGAAGTCTCAAAAATATTTAATTGAGTTATTCAAATTAATTTAATCATTGCTTTAAAAAGTAAAATAGAGCATTTAAATTCGATCAGACTTACCCATTGTAGTTGGTGTTGATTTCGATAATTTATAAATTCTCCAGGTATATGACATTGGTATGATCTGTGGGGGGAAAATGATATTATCTTTAACATAGATTGCCTATCAATTAAACTTATCAAGTTCTTAAGCATTGTTTAATGTTTATATCCGTGATAATTTGAATTATTTTTTAATTATCATAGTCGCCCGCGTGGTGCAGTAGTTAGAGCGTCTGATCTAGATTCGCGGAGTAAGGAGTTGATCCTTACGTCGCGGGTTCGAATCCCACTGCGGGACGTGGAGACCGGTCCTTCGGATGAGACCGTATAAACCGAGGTCCCGTGTAGCAGTAGGTGCTGGCACGAAAAAGATCCCTCATTGCTCAATGGCCCTAAGTGCCGAGCATAGGTCAAATTTGTAGCCCACCACCGGCAAATGGTGGCGTCTCCGTATGAGTGAAAAATTCTCGAGAGGGACGTTAAACAACAAACAATAAATCAATCAATTATCATATCGTGCATCAGCAAATGTGATTATATAATCATTTAGTAAAAAAAATTACATACTTCAATGTTTGTTATCTTTTAATAAGATATCTGTCTTATTTATTATTGAATGACCTTTTCTAATATGAAAGAAATTTGCATTCCACGTTCCTTTATATAGATGCATACATACATGTAATACAATAATGCTTTAACCCAATATAAAGACAAAAACACTTAACATTTTATGCACTTTGGAAAGGACATTACCTAAAACATTTAACAGTTAATACCTAACTATGAAGTGGTCAGATTTAGCAGCCTCTGCATGATTGATTGTAATGTTTGCATTCATATATATATGCACCATACATCCATCTACAACTAACAGTTTTAAGGAATCGACCCTTCTTCAGAACTTCCTACGAATGATTTATGCAATATTCCGAAACATTTGTAAAAAAAAAAAAAAAAAAAAAAAAAAAAATCCTGGGACGTGAAAATCTCTCTATCTTGTATTTTATGGTTACATAACTTACTTCTACTTTTTAATGTTACCAATTAATTGCAAAAATCGTTTTTTTTTTTAAATGGGTTGTGAAGATTGCTTAAATACATGCTTTTCGTTCTTACTTTCCATCAAATGTATATATATGTGGATCTCCTCTAACACCACATGATCTGCCTTTCCATTGTTCATTTCTTTCTCGAACTCTTATCTGTAACATATTCTCAAACCTTTATTGAAATGCTTGTATAAATGTAACTGTTAAACGGTAATGAGGATTGTGAAAAAAAAAACACAAAATAAAGTCAGATATTTTTTTTTTCCGAGAAAAAGGCATTTCCAGAGAATAGGTGTATTATTTGATTACAAAAGTATATAAACATAAACATACTATAATAACTATTATCATTAACTTCATTTTGCACTATAATTGTATTGTTACGTTTCAAAAATATTTTGGGTATTTCTTTTAGAAACGTCATTGTTTACAGCATTGCATAAAAATATCAGTAACTATTCAGTCTACTTTTATCAAGTTAAACTAAAAGCATACCGAAATGTCGGGCAAAGACACATGCTCGAATATTTTACTTCCAACACCATTAGTGCCTCCAGTCTTTAATCGTAGAGTCATCTGACTGTTGATGACGTAAGCATCAGTGTCCTGACTATAAACCGGAAATGAAATATTTTGCCGCCATTCGCCGTTTTCATACTTGTGTCTCTCGTTGTAATTATAGCTTTTTACTTTGACTTCGCACTGATTAGATGATCCTCCTCCACTACATTTAGACGGATCGTCTGTTTTAAAGGTCATATGAATATTCAGGTCGCTAACTGGTTGAAGATCACCATTAATATAAAGCGATTCAGAGGCGAATGGTATTGTCATCTCCAATTCGACATTCTTAGATCCTTTTCTCTCCAACTCAATACTTGGATTGAGTATCTTTAAAAAAATGTATTTAAGTGTACATAATAATGTTATTCAATCTTTTGTTTCAAATGTATAACTTTTAAGAAAATGTTTAATAAAATCCTTGGAAAAAAAGTCAGCGAGATGCATTATAAATAAAATTACAAAGAGTCTTTAAATTTCAAACTGAGAACTAAGTACTATTCTTTAACCTTTCTTAACAGGCATTAATCTGAGATGTTTATTATTGTATTACCTTAATTCCAGCAAAGAATGGATTTCCAACTTTGAAAAGACATGGACTGTTTTCTTTTTTACGTTTTGCACCAACTTTGCAGTGTACCTTACGAAGGAAACAAATTCTGTTGAAAATGAAATCACATTTGATTTTGTACTTATATATGTTTTTTTTAACTCTTTTTTGAAATAAATCAATGCAAGCATTTGTTCTCTTCCATTGACAAATTTACGCAAACGGAATTATCATTAAAAGAACACGTTTTGAACAAAAAAATTCTAAAAGAAAAAGATAGCTTTGAATAAGATTAACATTACATTTAGATGTTTCAAGCGATATTCCCCAGTGTTCCAATCATTAAAGTAGATATAGTGATAGAAATTTCCTTACGTCAGACCCTATCTTTTTCTTCGCTCTCAACATATCATGAGCTTTTATTACAGCAGTGTAATTATTGGTGAAATCAACCGTCTGACTAAAAGCTTCCTGTCCATCAATAAACCAAGTGACGTCATAAAATAGCTCTTCATCTGATTTCAAACTGAAGTTGCACAGAAGGGTAACAGCGGGGTCATATCTGATGAGGTTGTTTATTACTTCTTTTCTCCATGTCATATTATGATACAAAACGGAAACAACTGAAGGTTCCCAATCAACACCTGTTTCCGGCGCAAAAGTATAAAAACAATTATGAGTGAAACAAAAGTTTTTAAAAATCTAAATGCAAGGCTACAAGAGCGAATTGGGATAACTTCCTATAAAAGAACGTTATACTTACAATATTCCGTGTCAACTGGAAAAGAGAATAGACAAGTATTTGTATAGTAATAAAAGTTTAAGAAATGTGGAGATAAATAAAAAAAATAAGAATCTAAGCAACACACCTTTGTCACAGGTATCATTGATCCACCCAGTAGAACATCCTCCTATACAAGATCCATTATATCGGTCACACAGGTACGGCGTTAAACAGTGACTGCTACATCGCTGTGAACAATTACGTCCATACCAACCAAGACTACAGGCTGCATTAAAGGACGAAAGTACTACCTTAATTCATTGCAAAGAGAGTTCTGTCTCTGTCTGTATCTTCTTGTCGTACATAATGAATTACATGTAATGCATACATGACATATGAAGACTTGAAAATTTCAAGTAGCATATCAGTTTATATATATATATATATATAGATAGATAGATAGATAGATAGATAGATAGATAGATAGATATAGATATTGTATACAGGATATATTTTAAAATATTTGGACGATTATACATATTTCCTCAGTAAAACCTCTTTATGTGAAGTATTTTTTTCTACATGCATGTAAACCTCTACATATTAAAATTTGGATTTTTTTGGTACAAACAAACGTATGGATATAACGACCAGTAAAAGTAAAATATTCTCAATTTGCTGTTAGCAAACGAGCTTGCAATTCAGTCTGTTTCTTAATCACTTTCAAAGGAGATGGACGTGTTTGCGAAGAAAAATATTCGCAAGTGCGAGTCTGTGCCACAAGCCCCCCCCCCCCCCCCCCCGCCATTTGTTCATGCAAAGGTGAAATAGTTCGTTTTCAATAGCTTATATTTAAACACTTACCTTGATTACACCTGCTAGATGTCCATCCATTATTACAACCGAGTAAACAATTCCCGGTGACGTGATGACAAGTATTATTTAAACAATGTCCACAGTTGTAAACACAATTAGCACCGTATGTGCTATTTGAACATTCTACAAAAGTTTATGTCAAAATTTTAAATGCAAACAAAGATGACAACACTTGTACTGTCTATAATACTATTTATTACATTTCTTTAAAATCATAGACAGATATAAGTTAAAGAATGCATGAATTTTTACCATCTGTGCAGTTTTCACCGGTATACCCAGCTTGGCATAGACAAGATCCCTCAACAGCATTACATTCGTCACAGGTCGGGGAGCATGGTCTGCATGGGCTACCGTAGTGATTTCTTGGGCATCCTAATAGAAGAAAGAATGTCATAAAAACAATAAAGTCGCAAAAAAGTGAAGTCAAAGACCAATCTTCAATATCATGAATCTTCTTTGCAGTGCACATCGAGACCTAGTGGTCATTGGGGGTAAAATCCCTTGCTGGCAGTTCAAAAAAGCTATGGGGGTAAAATCCCTTTCTGGCAGTTCAAAAAAGCTAATTCAGAGAATTTGTGTCCTTTGCGTTAAGAAAAAAAAGAGCATCCGCGGGAAGGAAGACGGGTTGGGGGGGGGGGGGGGTTGGGGGTTTGGACCCCCTGGATTTGCAGAATTATTATATATATATACTGAAGCAAATAAAAAGGCTAAAATGGATATATTGATCTTATTGCTTATTCTCTAAAATGTACACAGAAGATTCTTTTGATATAAAATATTTATCATGTATGTAATAATGATTTTATGAGAAAGTTTGTACACGCCAGACGTCATAACTTCTTCATTTCATATGTTGAATACTATCATATATATATATATGTACATGTATATTAGTAAATCGGAAAAAAAACAAAACAAAACAAAACAAAAACCAAGATGTGCTTATGAAACACTGATGCCCCCGTATGTCATTTTATAGCAAAGGTTAAACTTTCCAAAATGCAATTCAAATATGTTTGTACCCAAAATAAGGTCTCGTCTCGAGGAATATACCTGTGAAATATGAAAGCCCTAGCAGTAACCATTGAATAGATATTGAAAAGGTTAAAATTTTCCAAAAGTAGGTCAAACTCCAAGGTCAATGGTCTACGAATGTTTGTATCCAAATGAAGGTCTTGTCACAAGGACTACACATCTATAGTATGAAAGCCCTAGCACCAACCATTCAACAGTTATGGCCAAGGCTAAATTCCAGTAAAATTTTGCAAAACTTGGTCAAATTCCAAAGTCAAGGTCAAATATGATGATGCCCAAAGAAAGTTCTTGTCACAAGTAATACACATGTGAAATGTGAAACCCATAGCTCCAACCAATCAAAAGTTATTAGCAATGTCAAAGTTTATGCGGACAAACAGACAGATGGACGGACAGGGTAAAACTATATATCCCGAATCTTTGATACGGGGACATGAGAATACGGGATCGTCCGTAATTTGAACCCGGGACCTCTCAAATGCTAAGCGAGAATCATACCTCCTAGAGCAACGAGGCGCTTGCATTGAAGCAAATTAAATGCAATCAGCAGGTCACACATTCACCTTCGATATTATCAAAATTTTGCAGAACACATGGTGTCTAATTTAGCCTTTACTAAACAAATCTAATAGATGTAATTAGAATATCAAGTCCGCCGACAACCTGTATTATACGTAATAACTGTGCATGCTAAAAATCCAACTGAACAAAAAAAAAAAAAAAAAAAAAAAAAAAAAAAAAGAAAGAAAGAAAAGAAAACGCACACCCTGTAAAACACCAGCGGTAGGATCAGAGATTCATTGAAAAATAAGCATAACCTTCTCGACCGGCACAGCGACCTTGAGTCCTTTGTCTTGACATGTAAACGAAACTTATGCACAGCCAAATCAGTTTGAAAAAAACAGTCTCAAGTCAGTCAGCAATCGACCTACTGAGAGATTGAATTTGCAAGAAAGTCATTGTATCTATCAAGTAATTTGCAAAATGTTGCCGATATACCTGTAGCCTCAACAGATTTTCATATATATATATATATATATATATATATATATATATATATATATATATATATATATATATATATATATATATATATATATATTTAAAACATTGCTATGACGTCATGCCTTTGTTCCCACAGTCTAAAAATTTACCTGTAGCCCACCGATAATAATAATTAACAGCCCAGTAATATATTATCGGACGGCAGTTATAACAAAATCGGACAGTAGTTAAAAAAAAACAACTAGAGTGAAATCAAGGATTAATTTGTCCAGAAACCAAAAAAAAGTTTGGGAGAAAAAATTAAGGGTAAGCAAAAGCGAGGAAATTAAGTTGTTTAAAATAGCAAAGCCAAGAAGAAACTGGAGTTTTAACCTTCCTCAAAAGTAACACTTTCCATTCGTTTTTTTTTTTTTTTGCAGAGCGTTTTCGATACAGCACTGTGAATAAGCCAATTTAATCCATTTCTGATAAAGAACCAGTCTGCGAATCTCTTCATTTAACGAGGTTTGTTCGCCAATGACCGCTCTTTTAAAACCCAAGATTTTCATTATATCATCCAATAGAAATTTTACATAAAAATCCGCATTTCAACTTTAAATGCATTTTGAAGATATCATACCTGACTGTATCTGTATCAATGTCAAACGCACTTACTAAAGAAAAAATATTCCGAATCATAAAAAAAAATCCTTCATCACCTGACCACTGCCGATAGTTCCTGCTAAGACCAAACGACTGCCATTGAATGAATGAATGAATGAATGAAACAAAAGAGTTCACTCGCTGATTTTACTGTCTAAAGAAAGAAAAAACTTTCTCTTTTCTTTTGTCTACTTATTAGATGGTTTCAGGTAGAAAACTGTTGATGCCTGAACTCCTATTGTGTAATTATCGGACTCCTCCAGGTAACCTTTGGACATTTAAATAGCAATGTTTTAAGTAAGATATATGCCTCATACAATTCTATATGTAATGGATATATGCCGAATACTGTTCTATATGTAAAATTATCAGACTGTTTGAGGCCCGTTACAGGTAAATTTTTAGACTGCAAGAACAAAGGCATGACGTCACAGCAATGTTTTAAGTAAAATTATCAGACTGTTTTCGGCCCTAACGGGCCTCAAACAGTCTGATAATTTTACATATAGAACAGTATTCGGCATATATCCGTTACTTAAAACATTGCTGTGACGTCATGCCTTTGTTCTTGCAGTCTAAAAATTTACCTGTAGCCGTCCGATAATAATAATTAGCAGTCCAATAATATATTATCGGACGGCAGTGATAACAAAATCGGACAGTATTTAAAAAACAACAACTAGAATGAAATCAAGATTTATTTTGTCCAGAAACCAAAAAAAAAAGTTAGGGAGAAAAAATTCTGGGAAAGCGAACGCGAGGAAATTAAGTTGTTAGAAATAGCAAATCCAAGAAGAAACAAGAATTTTGACCTTCCTCAAAAGTAACACTTTCCATTCGGTTTTTTGCAAAGCATTTTCGATACAGCACTGTGAATAAGCCAATATAAATCCATTTCTGATAAAGAACCAGTCTGCGAATCTCTTCATTTAACGAGGTTTGTTCGCCAATGACCGTACTTTTAAAACCCAAGATTTTCATTATAGCATCCAATCAAAATTTTAAAATAAAAATCCGAATTTTTACTTTAAATGCATTTCGAAGATATCATCCAACACTGTATCTGTATCAATGTCAAACGCACTTAATAAAAAAAAATATATTCCGAATCATAAAAAAACCCTTATCACCTGACCTCTGTCCATAGTTCCTGCTAACACTACTAAGTCAGAAACGTACTGACATTCCCATTTTTTACTGATAAACTTAGATAATTACTGACAATGTGCTGCCTTTACTGCAAAACTTAGACAATTACTGACCTTTTTCTGCCGGTGCTGATAAACTTAGAAAAGTGCTGACAATCTTAGTCGGT